AGTTTGAACGCTGCCTTAACTAGAATAAAGGTTGGCTGCTTTAAGTTGTTCACTTGGAGAAACTAGTAGTTTGCGCTCCGGACGACTTTTATCCGACTTGAAAACGGTCACTTGACCCGTCATGAGTCTTCTACAGCAAAGTGGTCGCGCCGTACCATCGTCTTCCTTTTATTTCCTTCAGAAGAGGGTCCTTAATCCTTGTTGTACTAAGTGACCACTTCTTGTGAAACAGCTCACGTTCTGGCTATTTGACCTGACCATTACTCAGCTCCCACCTGAGCGTTGGGTGACGGTTAGAAATACTGAACTAAACTCTCATATAAGGATGGTTCTTATTGATCTGTTTTTCCTCATCAGACTTACTTCTGTTGTTTAAAGGAGGTTCTTGTAACTACCGCCCATTATTGATGTGCTGTTACTTTATTTGCTTCAAATTCTTTGTAGTGTTTTCTGGTGAAACGCTGACTTTCCAGGAGTCATGGTCATGTGGTTGGTTCCTAGCGTCGCTGTTCGTCATCTACAACTTTTTCGGCCAATTCTTGCCTGTGATCATGATCATGCTGCGGAAAAAGGTAAGCATTGACCTGTATAAATATTAAGACTTGCTGATTTTTGTCTTTTGAAAAAGTTAGAGAAGCAAAATTTCCAGGTGACTATTGCATGTGCGGTACTTGGATCGATTGTACTTCTCCAAACAGTTGCTTATCATATTTTGTGGGATCTTAAATTCCTTGCCAGGTGTGTTGATTTGACGTACTAATCATATTTTTTATTTTGATTCATTGGTTTTTTCTGTGTAGCAAACTTGTCCGTCGTTACAAAAGTTTTTATTCACGTGACTATTTATTTGTAACAAATCTAATCTATAAGATAACCATGAAGCTTTGAAAAAGCGCAGTAGTCGTTTAGCTGCAGCTAACGCGAAGCGCTAAGGTTCATACTATGCGGCACTGGAGGATAGGAGAGTTTGTGATGGGGAGTTTGCGCCGAAGGAAAGCATAGGTATTGATCTGGGCAATCGAAGGATAGGAGACTGCTTGCCAACGAGCAAGTGGAATAGATCGACCTCTTTCTCTAGCAGAATTGTGCATTGGGGTCTGAAAAGGATAAGGTCGCCATAGATCAATCCCTTTTTTTATGCGGTACTCATTCTACTTCCATTCAGAGCGTAGTGGCTGTTGAATGCTATGTGGCCTAAAGAATGACTTTCGAGGGCCAGCCGATTTAGATTCAAGGTTTCTATCCTCCTAAACAAGTCTGGAACCATTCTACCGTTTCTCGGACGGAGAAGGCTTGGTTGGTCTGGGCGGAAACCGAACCGGGAGTTCAACCCGTAAGGTGTCATTTGCCCTCCGCCCCCTCCCCCTCAAGGGCTCAGGGCACATCATTGGTTGGGAATTTTAGTCGAGTCCGTTCGACCCCCTTTTTGGGGGTTGGTACGACCCCCACCCTTCTGGCCTTCTGGGGCCCCGGCCCCCTCATCGAGCTATCGAGGGGGGGGGGAATAGCACATGTGAAACGGGAAAAGCCGCGAGACAATACGACCCCCCCCCCTTCTACCAATTCTCAGATTTTCCCCAACTTCCTGCCACTTTTTCCAAAATTTCCCGAAAACTTCCCTACTTTTCCCAAAAATTTTGCTGTCGAGCGGGGGGGGGGATATAGTACGCATGAAACAGGAAAATCACAAAATTCAACGTCGGAAAGCATATACGACCCCCCCCCGCTTTCCAGCAACGAGCAAGTACGACTTCTTTTCCCCCTCCCTTTCTCGTCCGTGAGCGAGAAAAATCAACTATCAAAGTAAATTTTTCTCAGCCCAAATACGACCTCCCTCTCCTGGCAACCAAATACGACCCCCTGTTGGGGATTCCTCAACAACGATGTGCCCTGGTCAGTCTATTTCATTCTGATTCTCTGGCGCACATTTTCCTGTTCTCCCCTTGCCCAGATCGTTACTTTACTTCTCTTTGCGCCCATTCTTGGCAATCTCTTCGTCTCCGTTCCCATTTTTAATGTCTTACGGTACAAACGCAGTCCAAGTGATAGTCGTTTTTGTATGTGCTTGAAGAATAGGTTGGTTAAAAATAGCTTCAAATTTCCCGTGAAGGAACTATGTTTGCATTGCGGGAACGAGCGCGTGCAGGCTATTTCTGTTTGTTTATGTAATTGCATTCGAATACGTCAAAAAGTCCCTTTCGCGAAATCAGCTGTGTCAATACTTGTGAGAAAGGCTGCTGCATACTAACTAGGGAAGGTCGTCAGGTCGAAGTGGCCATTTGTGATGAGATGTAGCTCACTAGACGTGCTTTTAGACGCTGATCTCGAATCTGCTTTCGAAATTTGCAAAGCGATTCTCTGAATGGAGTTATGGAGTTTTTTCACCGCGTTTACCACGCAACAGGTCATGGGATCGGAACCCTGCTGAGCTTAACTTTTTTGCTTCTTGCGCAAACGTGGCAAAAAGTGGTTTCGCCGTCTAAACTGCTTCAATGGTCACCCGAACATGCCTGAAGAAAAGTTTGCGTCCATATATTGCTGCGTTTAGGCTCCTTGTATAAGCCTTGTAGTGCAGGGAAAGTATGGGGCGTACAGGTGTCCGTCGCGCGCGATACAGGCATTTGCACGCTCAGCGAATGTCATATTCGTGTTCAGCGGATCAGAATACCTTTATACACAAGCTTCTAGCCAAATCTGGCATTTTGACCTGACTTCCATAAGTGAACCATCCATGGGTTAGTTCAGTTGATGTTCACACCTATTCAGCTGCGATACATTCTCCTGCACAAAGCCTTGTCTTGCCACTTCTTACGCATTCATTTTGTTACTGCTCCAGTTTTTCCCGTATCTCAAAGCAAATTCCTTCCAAAGACAAGCAATCGACAAGAAACTGGCCCTGGAACTGTTGGTGACCATCATTCGAACAACTGCTACCGCACATTCCAAAGTTAGGTCAAGACATCACATCTGGCTAGAAACCTGTCCTCGAGGGTAGTTTTGCTTCCTGAACACGAATATGGCCCCCATTTGGCATTTGAGGGTTTTCTAGACTCGAAAGGAACATTCCCCACAAAATGCAAAAGAAATCCCCTCTCACGAATTAGAACTCTTCATCGCATGCCCGCGAACCAAGACTGTTACCACTACACCAAGCCGATCCTTGTGGCGGTGGTGCTTCCCGGCAATTCATGCGAATGGCTGGCAGCCGCACTCGACTCCGTCTTCTTTCACTTTAATTCTAAGAAACCTTCATAACTCGGTTCAGAGAATCGCTTTGCAAATTTCGAAGGCAGATTCGAGATCAGCGTCCAAAACCACGTCTAGTGAGCTACATCTCATCACAAATGGCCACTTCGACCTGACGACCTTCCCTAGTAAGAAGGCCGTATTTCCAAGGTTATTCGTAAGGTTCGCACAACTCGTGTAAACTGTCATACAGTTTTTCATTTCAGTACACGATTGAAAGATATTGCGGACAAATCGAATTCCCTCGCGCAGACTTTATTCTGATCGATAATAGTGGTGAGGACACGGGGGGAGGGGGGTCCCTCCTCAATTCGATTCATAGTATAGTTCGCTGCGGACGGTGGGGCGTGTCAGGCAGGATGAGTTTGGCACGGTGCCATATACCCGTTCTCCATCAGCAAGCAAGTGACAAGACTGTATCATGTCGTTCGTATCACTCGTTTCCCAACAACTGTTGTCGCGTAACTGCTTCAACAACTGGCAGAGAACGGGTTTTTCACCGTGGCACACTCATACTGCCTGGCACGCCCCACCGTCCGCAGCGAACTACACTATGCGTACAGCATAAGTAGAGCAGGATGAAGTAGCGATACAAAACCAAGGGGGCAAACAACTACTGGGTGACTTTTCTGGTCTGAAAAAGAGAAAAATAAAACTAGCAAGCTAGATGAATAGGTCCTCTGCAAGGTCTTCATCTCGTACCGCTAAAGGCGCTGGGCTTGTCGACAGTCCAATGCTACGGGAAGGGCCCGTCGTACTCTGGAAACCTCAGCGAGGGGGTCGAATTTGGTCGATGAAGTGAGGGAGTCGTAACCGCTTTCGAGACAAGTGTTTTTGTTTCCGACTTTCCTAGGTTCTTCCCGTTCTGTTGCTGTGAACGTCCTTCCTCCCCCACGCACGACAGTAATGATTTAGAGGAATTAGAGAATTTTTCCGGAAAAATGGTAGAATTCATAGGATGTGGTAGAGAAGGGGAGGGGTGGGGTGTCGTACCAGAGGAGGAAAATCTGGGTGGAGGGGGGGGGGCAATCGCGCTTTCCAAAGAATTTTTTTCAACGGCAGGATATGCCGTGATGACAGCTCTGCATCAGTTATGTGAACCATTCTATGTATTTTGGGTTTTCGATTCGGTGACATTTTTTAGGATGCTTGTTGGGAGTTTGGGAGTTTTTTTTGCGTTTTGATGTCATTAGCTTCTTGGTAACCATGCAGTTTATCATTTATACCTTTTTGGCACTGTCCCGGCTAGGTGAGGCATTTTGATACAGAACATCCAAACTATGGCGAACATTTTTTTTGGAAGGGTGGAAGACGGTGTTGAGGAACGGTTCCATCTAGAAGAAGGAAGGCCATGTATAGAAAAGCTACTTCAAAACGCAATGTTTTGCTTCGTCCTCAGGAAGTTGAGGGTTTCTGTTCAAGTTTAGTATGAGAATAAGCCTGCGTGAGTGAATCGCTTTCGCCTCAACTTACTATAATAGCGCCTTTTGGCGCTGAGGTACATCATAGTGGGAGAGAGAGAGAGAGCTGGTACTCAGCAGCTCCACTTCTGTGTAGGACCAAACCGCGACGGGTTCAGTTGTCTGTACTTTGCCGAGCTTGAACCTCGGGTAAGGGACTGGACGTGGTCGCACGGCCACGCGCCCTTTCCGACCTGTGTTAGCGTTCCTTTCCAATAAAAGTTACTTCTTTGATACCTGTTTTTGATACCTCATATTTTTGAGTTCAGAAATGTTGCTGTCGGCGGCGGACTTGTGTTGCTGTTGGCTGAAACTCAAGAAGAAAAAGCGTCCTTGTTTGCTGGAGTACCAACCATGGGAGATACTAACAAACCTAAATCGTACATGCTTCTGGCCGGACGAGTTTTATTGATATTCATGTTCACCTCGTTGCTACACTTCGAAATGAGTTTCTTGCAGGTAAATTCGTTTGGAACTTCTTTTGAGAGTCTTCTAACAGAGGAATTTGCTCTTGGCTGTTTTGGCTTACGAAATTATCGATTTTGTTGAAATCGCGCCTTTTTATTAAGGTGATTGAAATTGTTGTCGGATTTGCTCTGATTATGCTTGTATGTGTTGGTTACAAAGACAAAGTTGTCGCTATGCTTCTTGTTGTATGGTTGTTTGGCCTCAACCTATGGCTTAATGCTTGGTGAGTTTTCCTTTTTCATCCATCAGTTTCCCAGTGCGATGTTTTCTTGATGTTTCGCCCCTTTTCAGGTGGACTGTCCCAGCTGATCGATTTTACCGTGATTTCATGAAGTACGACTTCTTCCAGACAATGTCTGTTATCGGAGGTATGCGCATTTGGAAGCAATTTCTCGATTTCATAGAAGTAACAGTCGCAGTAAGTAGAGAACCGGGGCGTTGATCCGAGTTGAGAAGGAAGAGGCGTTGCAAAAGTGTCATGTGCGCAATCCACTCCGGGATCCGAGTCCGAGATTCAACCTCCCGGTGCTCCAGTGGTATGACTTAACCTTACTCTAGTGAGTCGGTTTACTCCGTCTGGAATCCA